AAACGCTTGGAAATGTATCGAATCAGTGTTCCGAAGCTGAAAATCGCGAATACTATCGCAGTAAATACAGAACCAAATGCCTTCCACAAGGTCCCCTGACGCTCAGATCAAGTTGCGAAAGCGAGATCAAAATACTTTTATTACCTCTTTAATTTCGGAAGTACATTACTCATTATACCACGCGGCTCTCAGAACCACATTGACTGAAATCCTTCATATGATTAATCGATAAGGCAAAATAATATTTTTGAGCTTACTTCCATTTCGAGTGAAAGTGTTTGGTGAATAGATTCGAAGATAACTAATCAAATCACTTAAAAACCTAATCAGAGACCAGATATATAGTATATGTACCGCTTTTTAAGAATTCGCCGGTGAGTTTTCTTCATTCGTTAGCTTGAATTAGGTTGTGACGATGATACCTTGCTCTGATGACGTTCGTCATCTGACGGACGAAAGCTTAGCATCTTTTCACCGAAATTGAAGGAGATTAACCCTAAAACAGCGTCATCATGAATGTTCTAGTAAAGCCAATCTACAGCTGGTCAAGAGGAATCCGTCGTCGTCTTCTGGTGGAATCGACCTTCGAATCTCTTCATCAAACACTTTCACTCGAAATGGAAGTAAGCTCAACATCTATGAAATAAGAGATTCCTCGAACTCCAACTTTTCTTCGCAAAATCATATTTGCCATTTAACTTAATATTATTACTAAAGTGATTATTTTACGATATCAGCAGGGTTAGTTTTGTATCAGGTTTCATTATCGGGCATGTGATATTCATATTTCTGGTATTCTACATATCAATATTAATTATATTTGCAGAAATTTAGTCTACTTGATTTTATCTAGCAGCTTTTTGATTTCTTAAATCAACTTAAAGAATTTATTCAGTCTCGCATTGGTAGTTATCGAGGCTTTAGTTTTTAGTTGATACAACTTAATATGTCCATTGAATTACGACTTTTTTACATTTCTTTCCTTGCCCTTTAATAATTTTTCCATCATAGATTCTCTAACTTTATCTCCTAGTCTTCATATCTCCTATATTTTTTTTTATTTCCCTCAATTCCGACCAGGATTCCTCTTGTCAAGCGATGGGTTTCCTACTGAACAGCCAAGACACACGCGTCGTTCTTTCTAGCGAGCATGCATATAAGCTTCTTTCCAGATATTCAGCCGCTGCTGCTGCAGCTGCGGCCTCTGGAATCGTCACTTCGGCAAATTCTGCTTCCTTATATTCCCATTCTGCGTTCTCGCCTTCTTCCGTTTCTCAGCCCACTTCTCTTCCCTCATCATCATCTAGCAGTGGTGACATGACTCCTTGTTTTCCCGGTTGGCCCAAGGTAGCCTGGATCAATACCGATCAATTGGGCAGCTTCAGCAAGCCCCCCAGAGATTGGACTCCACCAGATAGATTGCCACACGAAGAGACAATGTATATTGAGGTATTGTTATTCACACACCCCACGTTGGCTCTCACTACCTCACCCTCTTCACTCTTGTGCCGAGAGTATTGATCAGAGTCTATCCTATTGTTCCGCAGTCATCCTCATAAGTGATATAAGAATCTCTCTCTTGCCCCGTAGGATCCGTCTGCTATCTTCTTGGTTCAAGTATTTCATTCGACTCCTACCACCCCATCTGTGCTACTAGAGAGGTTATTTCCCACACCCCGCCTCTGTGAGACTAACTTGAGGCTAAAGGCCCAGATTAATTATTATGGTCAAGTGTTTGCTTCATGGACCACGTCTATGATCAAACACGTCTACTGTTAGCCAATTAACTCTAGTCTCCGTCGTATCTATCGTGCTTCTACCCATAAGGCCAAGTCTATGACTTCCTATACTCTAGTCTCTTGTGTGCTAATCCACAAATGTTGTAGTTCTACTTGCTTTGATTAAGTTCAATGTAAAAATTGTTATATTGAATGGGTGATAGGAGGATATAGGATTGATGTTTAGCCCAATGCTGAAGGAGAGATACCACGATTGTTTAGCAGACAATTAGTCAGAGGATCGGCTTTACTCGTTTCTGGCGAGTTGTAATGTGGTGCTAAGAGTGTCAGTGCTCACTGGCAATGCCGATTATGATGCCGGCGAAACGTCTAGGAATCTACCACGTCCATTGTCCCGACTGGAAATTATCATGCATACTATGGACTAGATGCATTCCTCTAAGTCTTCCTTCCAATATGACCAAGTTGCGAAAACAAGGTCAAGCGACTTTTAAGTATTGGTTCGTTTATTGCAATTTAAAGTTGAGTGTGCTTATTTGACTTCGTTTACGTAACTTGATTGGAACGTCGAGGAGATCTCGTGGAACATAGGTAGTCATGTATCCTCTCCCCTAGTATTCGTGATTTCCACCTTCGGACGATTGGCTTGATACATTCC